ACATGAGTATTGATAAGTATAAATAGATATAGAGGTAAAGATATAAAAAACAATAAACACATAATTTACCAGCTTGGTCCTTATCATAGGTTATTTAGACTATATAAAACATAAAGTCGAGTGACAGGAAATCTGTAAGTTTAAATGTAGTTTTTAGGGATTTTTATGAGCGGTCGAAACTTTAACTGAATGCAGTTGGAATTTTCCTATAAAATTCTAAAATGATCTATTGTATATGTTTCTGAACGCAAAAGTATTGCATTAAGCTCAAAACTGCTCCGATCTGGCTTTGATGCAAAGTGACATTAGCTTGTGAAGAGAAAGTAATTATTTTCTTTATTCTTGTGACAGTCGCTGCTGATCACATATTGATCATGATAAAAATCGAAAGAACCATGCATGGTTTGTGATATAATAAACAATATTATGTCAGCAAAATGCCCACTCGTAATGAGGTTTATGAATAAACATATTTTTTACCTTGGTTCTCATCATAAGTTATTGCTAAAAATTGAACAAACGGTCAAATAAGAGAAATATTTTAAGTGGCTATGGGCTTTTTATGCAAGCGCAAAGGCAAAATATCCCACAAAGAACCGATACGAGAGTAAGATGAAATAAGTTTTCATGTTTTTCTTCATCATATCGAGGTGCGGAAAGTTGAGGGTTACCGGATGTAAATTACATCATTCTCTTCTTCGACCTCACTTTTCATTACCTTTAATGACTCAACGGCCTCAAATGTCGACCCACATTGACCCAAACTGTTCCAGCGATCCAATTATCTCGAATGACCCAACTGCCTCGAATGACCTAATTGATTTCAGTGAACCAACAGCCTGACATGACCCAATCGGCTGACAAAGAATAGCTATGAGTAAAGAGCAATGAAGGTTCGTAAAAAAAGTGTGTAAAGATTCATAAAGATAATTGGAGAGAAGGAAAGGCTAGCTGTGCATAAAGACCGTTTAAGGTCTGTAGAGAAAAGTGCGTAAAGATTCGTTAAGAAAATTAAAGACGCGTAAAGATTATCTCTGCGTAAAGGCCGTTAGTGGTCCGTGAAGAACAGTGTGTAAAGATTGGTAAAGATATTGAAAGACGCGTAAAGCCTAACTGTGGGTTAAGAGAGCTAGAGGTCTGTATAAAACAGTGGGTAAATATGAGAACCATTAAAAGTCTGTAAAGAACAGTGCGTAAAGATTCGTAAAGAGAATTAAAGACGCATAAAGACTAGCTAGCTGCGCGTAAAGAGTGTTAAAGGTCCGTCAATTACAGTGCGCAAAAATTCCTAAAGAAACTTAATGAGTTTACGAAGAAACATCCAAATCACTCTGTAGTTCACTGATGACCGATCAGACACATTTATTTCACATATTTTGTTAGTTCTTCCGATAATGATCCTTGAACTATAACCGTCCTAATCTACGCCCTTTACGCGCCTTTAATATCGATTACAGGGTCTTTGTGCAGTCTCTGCGTTAACGCATGCTTACGGAACACGGAATTTGTTTTTTACGCAAGAAATGAAGAAGAGTAATGTGGCGATTTCATGCTGCGTTATAATATTAATTTTATTACTTTACAAGCCGTATCAGCAGCCGAAGTTACTAATTCATATACAAACTTCCTCAAGATAGTTGTTCTGAAAATCTATATTTATAATTTCATTGATTTATAATTGCAATTTCTTAGCTTTTCAATTTCGTCAAAATAGTAATCAAAGTGCTCTGTGAGCAAACTCGTGAATTGACACATGATTTTTTTGGATTACGTTTAATGTTATCTGGTTTAGGGAATTTTGTGGTTAATTGTCATATCTAGAGTACGAGCAGTAGTTCAGTGTTCGCTAATGTAGCAGAGAAACAAAGTAACGTTGGGATAAGAAGGCATTACAATTGAAATGATCATGCTATTGCATTTGACAAGGGTGGATGATGTCGTGTTTTAAACGTATATCATTTCTGTTTCTGGTTCAAAAGAAAAGATTGGAAGTAAATGTGGGTGAAAAGTGAAATTTGCTGTAAATATTGGAAAATCAAGGCAATACTTTCTTAATGAAAACATTAACGATTCCCTCTTTATCAAATGAGACAAACGGGAACGAGTTTTGAGTGATATAACTAAGCCAAGACTGCCGCCGTCATTTTGGATCTCCGCCTGGGTAGATTTTAGTCACGTGCTAGGCAACGTATAATCAATAACAAGATAGAATTTCATTTCAGGCCTATTTATCAATTTTGTGGTGTATAACTTTCGCATTTTAGTACGTTATATGTATTTTGAATCTTCAAATTGACTTGAAACTTAAAAGAAAATTGTTCTTTAAAAATTCACTGAAAATCGGTAGCTAATATTGTTTGTTTAGGTGTTATTTGATTTTCGTGTTAACTTGTAATTCCGTTAGTCGCCGGCATCTTCTGTTGTTTCACACAGGAAAAACACAGGATACGAAACGTAATGATCGATTTTGTCCGCAATCTCACGCCGTAACAGAAAAAGCTTTTGAACATCTGTAAACTCCTAGCGCTTCGCAGTAAGTGATATTTTCAATGAATATTCGGATCGTTTTCAAGTTCAAGGCTGGTAAATTATAATTTTATGAAAAACGAAGGTTGTTCTGTTATTTCAGTGTGAATCCTTGCATGCCTGCCGGTCGCTGCGCCGCTTGTTGAAACTAAAGCGAAAAAAAAATTATTTTAATATTATCATTAGCTTCTTTGTCACCCCACCACTATTCTTAGCAACAAAGGTCGCCATTTCGTTTGTTTATTGCTCACCAAAAACTATCAAATGCACTCAGAAGCCTAAAATCGAAAAAAAGTTTACAAGAATCGACAAATCGAGCGAGCGAGCGAGCAAGTACCCTTCCCCACATCGTATCTACAACTGCTCTTGCGCATGCACGCAATTTACGAGTTAAAAACCATGCATAAAAGCATGATCGGTTTGTTTTCATCGCAAATATTCAAAAGAGATATTGAAAATCCGTTGAATCATATCGGAAACAGACAACAGCGGAAACGTCCTGACTTAAATATGACGGAAACATGACTTGACATCTCCGTTCAGGAAATATGACGGAATCTTGGAATCACTAAGAATTGGTATAACACGTTTCCGCAAAACGTAAATGTAGCGGAAACATGAAGCTCTATGTTTCCGTCACATTCAAGAAATGCGGAAACGTGAGATTTCGTCCTATGCTAGGTACTGCTAATTGATTAAATTTGATGAGTTTTCCTATAATCGTGTTGATCTAGCTTTTTGGTCCACAAAATGGCAAGAGTCTTCTTTATGAGGTCAAGCGTAAGAAATGCTAGCGAATGGGACTCTTTGTTTTGTTATTTTGTTGCAAAAGAACTGCAAGGTTTTTGCTTTACATCAGAAATTATAATGCTCCGTTATCCGAATTATTCATTATATAACAAAAATAAATAAGCTGTGCTTGCGACACAACCCAACGTAAAAAAACTACGGAAACCTTCATCACGTGAGTTGCAAACAGAGTGACGATAATAGTCTTTCCTGAATTTGTTTACTCATGGCAGGTCTCAAAGGAATTTTCCAGCTTTATCTTTTGTGCGTTATATGCGTACGTATGCTCGTGGATAAGACTGAGGAAATTTGAAGGAAACATCTCTTCAGAGTATTATCACCTAAAATAGGTAAACAAAATGATATACAAGCGCTAGATCTCTATTAAGCCATGAGTTTCAAGTGACCTAAATGGGTCATTTTTCAAAAGGAATATGTCCCATTATAAGGGTTTATATAAACCTCCTACTCAAGAAACGTACTAGATCAACCCAGAGATCAAAGATCTGTTTCGCATTCATTAACTTCTCCTTTTTTCCTGGTGGACAAGCGGGCGAAAACTTTACGTTACGCGTGCGTCGTTGTTATACTATAACTGTTCGTGCCAAATGGAGGCAATATTTACATAATCTGGAGGAGGAGTTTAAAGCCCGATTGCGGGTCTTAGTCCTAGGTTAAGGACTATTTCGGATTCTACCTCCAAAATCTGGATCCTGTAAAAGGTGCCTGATTACCAAAACTGGGGGTAGAGTCTTAAAAAAGTATAGCAGTTTGCATAATCAATCCTCCTCCATTAAAAAACCGCAAAACCTATGTGATGCGGTGGAAAAGTTGATCATTCAGTTTTGTTATCTAAGTGCCTTGGAGGACCAGAGGGCAAAACTTATTTTTAAAAGTTAATAATATTTTTGCTTCTCTTTTAATCTACCAATTCTTCAGACATGTCAACTCGCTCTCTCACTCCGCCCCGTCCCGCCGCAAAAGTCGAGATGCCAAATAACACCTTCTCTGAGAAATGATGAAAAATCCAAAGGATCGAAGGAACTGCATGGAAAGGTCGACTAACTTCGCTTCTGCTGGGTTAAAAAATTGTTTCAAAACTTTCTTTGATACTTCGATTCAGTTGTTTCATGATGTCTCATTAGCTGCGAGAACGAGAATTGAGGTCTGTAAATGGACAGTCAGGGAAAATTTCAAACACTGACGTCTTGCCATGACCATATGGCAGTTGGTGGTGATGGTTCTGAAAAAGTGTAAACAAGCTGTTGAGACTGGCATCGCAGTTCGCAAACTGTACTATGATGTCATTAGATCTGAAACCCTGTATTTGACGATCAAGTTAGTACCATATTTGAAGCCATATATTCTCATTATTTATCCGCAAAACCAACCGTTAATAACGTTTGCTCTCATGCATGCGGAACATATTGTTTATTCCGTTTTCTGTAAAAGCTTTACATAGCATGGAATAAAAGTGAACAGATAAGGAAAAAAAAATTAGCGGCATATCAAAGTCCCCTATTTTCTCGCTCAACACCGCCGCTTGGTGAGCCCCAGAAGTTTTACGGGGTAATTTTAAGGTTGGCTTATCATTTATGATTGAATTACGGTTGGCCTATGCGGAAGACTTTGATAATTTAAGATAAGGAATAATTTGTATATTTGTGCTTGTTTTGCAAACCAGATGCCTCTCGAAAAGCGTGGAAATTATGCACAATACGTTTTACTTTTAGAAGAAGAGAAATTGCACGAACAACGAACTCTCCGAAATTTGACGATCAAGTTAGTACCATATCTGAAGTAATATATCATGATTATTTATCCACATAACCAACCGTTAATAGAGTTTGCTCTCATGCATGAGAGACATATTGTTTATTCCTTTTTCTGTAAAAGTTTTACATCGCATCGAATGAGAGTGAACAGATGAGGAAAAAATTCAACCGCATATCAAAGTCCCCAATTTTCTCGCCCCAGAAGTTTTACGGGGTAATTTTAAGATTGACTCATTATTCATGATTGAACTGCGGTTAGTCTATGCGGAAGACTTTATCATTACTGACCGAAGATCGTGGCTAAAAACTGGACTTGTTATCCTGTAAATGTAAAATATATTTTTGTACTTCACCTATATTCATTTGACTTTTAAGACAGGTGGTAAAATTGCGTGGTTTTTTTAAAGTTGCCAGGATGAAAACTAGCTAAAGCATCAGTTTAATTGCAATGCTAACTTCATCCATGCTGTGTAAACATACGGATAGGAGCCATTATTGACTCTCTGAAAACCATCATGGGTTTAATATTACATGGCGATGAAAACTTCAAGATAAAAACAGTGGACTGACAGTTCAGTCTAGTAATCACACACGAAAAAAATTGAAAAATTCTACTCTTATGTGTGGGTCAGGGACAAGTAAGACTCTTCCAAGTTTCAGTGCTACGGTATAGAAACACGACGGTACGAGGTTTCTAAAAATGATTCATTCTGTAGTCATAAGCAATCTCGATTCTTTTACTTTTACACGCAATTGCCCAAAAAGCATCGTGGGACTGAATATCCCCGGCTAAAACTGAGGATATCCAAGTGATTAAGACTCACAAACCAAAATTCTAACGGAAAAACTGGAAAATACTTTCAGCACAGCCCAGCATGTCTCGCGGTGTTGCCAAAGAAAGCAGAAAATCACATCTTCCTATTGAGAACACTATTGAGGATGCTTATTGTCTACTAGCATTTGTAATTATTGTTTCTTCTATACCAACATCATCAAACTGGTCCATTGAAAATATTGTTTAAGAGTTCATGAAAAAGGGAAAGCAATGGACTCTTAAACTATATGATCCTTAAACGCTCTGTAATATTTAACTTGGTATAGGTACAGCCATGAAAGCTGTTATGATGGTACTAGCTCTCACAGCTTCCGTGTCGAATTTTACAGCAGCTATTCAAAGCCGTTCGTCCTTTCTTCAGACAACAAAAGATCGCTATCTAGTAGGCCATGTGATCAGTGATCATCGGAAGGTGTCCAGCATTTCATCATGTGCACAACTCTGTCTGAAAAGACGTCCATCTTGCCGCTCAATAAACTACGGGGGAGAAGAAGGAGAAACGATTTGTGAGTTAAACGATAAAGGATTAGAGAGCGCTAATGCAGAGTCTTCTTCCTTTGTTTCTATGCCTGGATTTGTCTTTGCTCAGCTTCTCAATTTTGAGGTTAGTGCAGATGAAAGTCTGGAAATGATCCTAACCAAATTTGTACCAATTTATAGAAAAGGAACAAAATAAAGTAGTGCATTTACACTATCTTTATAAATTTTTTTAAGCCTAATGATAGCATGCCATAGTAAAGGAAATAAAGACGCGTCGGCGATTTATCCCCCATAGGCCTCTGTTTCATAGGTGCGATCTTTTAAGCTGCGTAGACTTTTAAATTGCAGCAAATGGATGTAAATTATCTCCGCCACTGACCCACTAAAATATGGGTATAAGCATGCTAATCTCATTTACATGTACCCTTGCATATCATGCCATCGGTAATTGTGAGGAATCATTCCTAGATCAAGGAAGCGAAGGAATGAAAAATTACTCTAAGCTAGATGCTTTGTATTACACGTGCTCAACGATTATAACGTTGTAGAATTTAAGTATTTACTGTAGTATGGTTTACTTTTTAATCCTTATTTGAAACAGTATCACAAGAGTTGCGACGAAATCCAGAAAAAGAATCCTGAGGCGAAGAGTGGTTTATACAAAGTTTACCCTGTGTCAAATGCTGATCCTGTTGAGGTATACTGTGAACTTGACATTGCTGAAGGTGGCTTCACTTTCCTTCCTCACAGCCTCACTTTAAGATCAGATGCTCAACAGATTATCGACGCCCTCTTCAAAGACAAGAAAACCGTGTTGTTAAAGTTATGGAAAAAAGTCGATGGTAGCGAGTGGTACACTTTGATTCAGCCCCACCCGAATTATACTGACGTCGATTTTGGCGTCTTGGTGAACAACTACTCTGGTTACACCAAACCAACAAACGTCTTCATGCAGAAATACGTATTCCTTGGCATCCTCCCTAAATCAATAGCAAATAGGAAAACAACCCAGGGTTTCAGATCTAATGGCATCATGCTAGAGTTTTGGAACTGCGATGCCAATCCCAACAGCTTGTTTGCATTTTTTCCGAACCATCATCACCAATTACCATACGATCATGGCAAGACGACAAGGTATGAAAATAGCGGAATCGCAGTAAACTGGCGCTCCCATGCCAAAGCTGTCACGAATGGCGGTCCCAAAACGCCAAACGAGTTCTTCTTCTTGACCGAGCTAAATTTTGGTGGCTGTGGCTGTTACACTTCAAGCGACCGCTGGAAGAAGTTTGGTTATAATTCTACTGCCATTGGACTCCGCTGATCGATGTTTTCATCATGAAATATTGGCTCATTTGTTTGCTAATAGATGACTTGTAACTCGTCATTAGTCAGCAAGGGTCATCACCCACTTTTCAGAAGGTTGCTAAATACTATAAATGACCAGTAGATGAGTTGGCATGAGAACAGAAAATATGCAAACCTTTAGTTTGGTAGACTACTTTACACCGAAAGCTGCCTCATCTGTCTTAACATTTTACATGATTTTTTATGTTCTTTTTGTATAATTTTACCTTTCACATTTAATTACCAAGTTCGGAAGTTCTTTAAGTACCTAAGGAAAATCCAAACTAATGATAAAAATAACTACAATAATGATAATAATAACAATAAGTTCACATCTATGATTTTCATATATTTACATTCATTTATTCATCGCTTCATGGGTTTACTTAGAACCATCATAATAGCCATCTCCCAGTTGGCTTGTTAGCTCAGTTGGTAGAGCACTGCATCGGTATCGTAGAGGTCAAATTCCGTCAGTACAGGCCTAAATTTTTTTCTGGCGAAAGTAAGGGTAGAAAGTATTCTTTGCCCAAGTATCTCCAACGCTGCTGGTAACTACTTCTTTCGCTCGCCTCCTCCATGTAAACACAATAATTTCGGCCCTCCGCCTAAAGACTTATCATTTAAAGCTACTTGAAAGTGTCAAAAGCTTTCTAAACTTTCAGAATGTCGACTTTTCCATCGAAGGACATGGACAAATACGTAGAGTCCATTCCAGTTCGATTCATTCAGGGCATGCGTGTAGACGAAGTTATCAATTATGCTATTTTCATTTGTGGAACGGAAGATGCTTTTGTCTTCCGGTGGACGTGGTCGTTGTCGAACCAAATAAAAGCTAGTTGGTAGAGCGAATGAAACGAGAGAGATCTGAAATTCAGTGGCAAGGAGGTTATAGTCGCGTGGGAACACACCGTTTAGTAACCCTTTCAAATGAGAAATTATCGAAGCAAGAAACCAAGTGCCGTAGTCTCCTCTAGAAACTTTCCCATGTACAATGTGTTCAAACTCGTAGGTTATTCGTCAGCTTCTTCCTGACTCCATCATCTTTACATTTATTTCGCGAAAACCCTGTTTGAGTGAACCATGCAATGATATTGAAAATTTCCTATTAGTTCAGGTTAAAGCGAAATACAAGTGGTCCCATGGAAGGCATTGCCGTTTTTTGTAGATTGTTTTCGATGGGACGTATACCACCCCGTGATTAATATGGAGTTTGCAGTTTCTAGAGCCGGGGTTTATTGAGAAATTGAACTGACCGGGAAGCGATCACTACTTCATTAAAAGTTTCCCACCAGAGAGGGACAATTTTTAAACTTCACGATGCTCGTTATTGACGGACTCTAAATGGTATCTACTTTCATAAATTTTTTTGGGTGGCAAAAAAATAGCGCCATATTTAAGAGAGTATTGGATACTCGCAAATATAAAATAAGGTTCAATAAAATATCAAAATTAAGAGGTCAAGTGAGTGGGAGAGGGAGTTCGAGAACGGCCGAAGATTGCCAAGCACAACTTCGATCATTGATAACCCTCAACTGTCCAGACTACTGGATAGGGATTGTCATCAATTTGGTATTTGATGTTTCGCAACCGTCAGCAGTTTAATAAAATTTTTCATGAGAGATCGCAACTTTATCTGAATACACATGGAGTTCGCCTCTAATATTCTAAAATTATCAATTGTATTTATTTTAAATGCTAAAGTCTTGTGTAAAGCTCAAAAACGCCCCCATCAGGCTTCAGTGAAGTGTGAAATTTACTTCTGGCAAAATTGTTTTCTCTTGTTGTGACGATCACAGTTGGACAGCAGTAACGTCTACAAATTATGTCAGGAATTTTCCTCTCTAAGATTTTTTAAGGATTATCCGTTTGTTCAATTACTAATGAAACAAATTTAAAAGACGCTCAAAAAGATTTAAACAAACTATCGATTCTGGAAACATTGAAACAAAAAACATGTAGATATGGGTATATACTAACCAAAGTTATGTCAGCAGTGCTCTAATTTGTAGCTGGCTTGCTGCTCATATCCACTCAAACTGCGTGAGGTTTACCAATGAACGTATCATCTACCAACTTGGTCCTTATCGTAGGTTATTTACATTACATGAAACATAAGGTCGTATAAGAGGAAATCAGTACGTTTGAGTGGGCGCAAGCGCAGAGACAAAGCATCCCACACGGAAGCGATACCAGAGTAAGAGGATATAAATAGTTCACGCACATATGAATTCTACGAGGTCCGGATGGTTGAGGGTTACCAAATCCAATTCTTGACCACCCCTCATCCGCTACTTTGACCTCATTTTATTTTACTTCGATGACAATTTTTGACTTGATGTATCGTGCCATCTGTAGTCGTAACGAGCAAATTATCTTACTTTTTAAAGCAAAAAGTAAGATAATTTGGATGAAACGAGTAGATGGAAACTTTATCAGATTCCATGATTACTCGCAAGAGTTTAAACTGCGAAAAGTAAGATTAGGCACAGTCTCTTTGTTCTCTTGATTCATACTAAGCAAAATTGGCAAGGTAAAATTGAAAATATTTTGCTTTCCATCGATCAGAATTTATTATGCTCTGCTCTCTGATGAGTTTTCCTAACCGTGTTGATCTAGCTTTTTGGTATACAATTTGGACTATTGTTTGAAATGGCAAGAGTTTTCTTTATGAAGTCAATGGTAAGAAATGCGAGCGAATGGGGGGACTCTTTGTTTTGTTATTTCGTTGCAAAAATATTCGCAAGCTGAAACTGCAAGTCTTTTGCTTTCAGAATAAATAATACCCCTCTATCCGAATTATTCATAATATAAATAACACAAACAAGCTGTGCTTGCGACACAAGCCAACGTAAATACTACGGAAACCTTCATTCCGTGATTTGCAATCAGAGTGACAAGAATAGACCATTTTAAAAATTTGTTTACCCGTTTCAGGTCTCAAAGGAATTCCAAGATTCATCTTTTGTGCATTATGCGTACATATGCAAGTGAATAAGAGAAAATTGTAAGGAAACATCTCTTCAGATCGGTATTGTCACCTAAAATAAGTAAACTGAATTTAAAAATAACAGGTCTAATAAAGCCATCACAGGAGTGGGCCCCTTCTCATGAGTCTAAAGTGGCCTAATGGGTCATTTTCGAAAAGGGACATGTCCGAAGGAGGGGGTTTGTATAAACTTCCTACACAAGAAACGTACCCATATCAACCCAGAGAACAACGATCTGTTTCACATTCATCAACTTCTCCTTTTTCCTAGTGGACAAGCAGGCGAAAAACTTTACGTTGCTTAGGGTTACGCGTGTCTCGTTGTTATGTTATAACTGATTGTCTCACGATGAAATCACTTCAAGCAGCTGTGGACTATACACCTAAGAAGAAGAGATCCACATTGGAAGTGACTACATCGCGTAACAAACAATTAGAGTGGAGTTTGCAGTGCGCGCGAAGCAAAGTCTCGTACAAATGAAAAAATGTTAGGAGCCAATCAAGCCCAGAAAATGTCATTTATCGCGTGACCTCTTGACCGACCGTTCGTTCCATGAAGGCAGTCGTATCCTTAGAGGGAAAGTATCATCATAGTTCAAAACGAATTTCATGGCAACTTCATATTACTCTTAAACTTCTACAACTCAATTGATTTTACTTATATCAACATCTTTTCGCCAATATTTATATAAATAATTCAAAAATTTACACTCATAAATGTTTGAGTTTCACAAAGCTGCGTACAGTTGGATGGTTGAAAATTTGTTTCCATAGTTATCCCACAATGAAAACAGTTTTAAAAGTGATAGTTCTAGATCCTCTATTTATGTTATCCGCACTTCTGAAGACAATCATATCAGAATTCTTCCATAAACCTTGCTCGTCATTAAAAAAAACCTTGAGCAAATTTCTCTATGGATTATCTGAGAAAATCTTAAAATTAATTTGCTTGATCTGAAAAAAATTGGCGCTTATTTTAGTTTATAGAAAGACGAGAGAAACAAACAAAAAATAAGTATCTCATTTTTCATATTGTGTGCAAATAAGTGATTTTCATGGATTTTTGCCTTTTCTAGAGCCGAGTTTTATCGAAAAGCAGAATTACCAAAAGTAATCACACTTACATTAGATAGATCACATACCACGGAGGATACAATTCTTGAATTAGAGTGAAATGTATGAGTTCGCGCTGTTGGTCATTAACAGATATGAAATCTTATCTATTTTACTTTGTTAGGCAGCAGAAAATTGCGCCTTATTTAAGAAAGTACTGAGTATTTGAGAATAATGACTAAGGGACAATAATAGGAGGTCAAGTGAGTGGAAGAGGGGAGCATAAAGCCAAAGTTTGAGCAGAACTTCGATTTGATAACCCTCGACCGTCCGGACCTTGTCAATGCTAAGAGAGAAATTTGGTATAAGTATCCTTCGAGTTAAAGAACACCTTCTTTGTGGGAGTAATTTACCAGGAGAACTAGCTACCCATGCGTGGCTTTATAGAACTTAGAACTGAAGAAATGATTCTAAATAATTTTTTTACGAAAGGAATTTGTAACATAACAGAATGGGTCAGCAATAAAAACCTGACTCTAGAGAGAATAAAGTTTTTCTAAAATTGCTCTTACAGTACGTAATTTAGCAAAGCCATAATTTACATTGAGTGGCTCACTTAAATATTCTGATTTCACATTTCCATTTCAAATTTGTTCTTCTTAGAATTTGTCATCTATTGAACTCGGCAAAACAATTATGAGAGTAACTAATAGTTGTCTACCATTTGAGTGCATAAAACTTATATTACTCAAATACTAAAAGCCCAGGCTAGTTTCCATATCATTTTTACATCCATTGTTTTCCTGTATTGTCTTACGGGTAACAACTTTACCTGCAGTTATTTCAAATTTGCAAACGAAAAAGAAAACATAAGTTGCATCACAGAGTATTTGATAAAATGTCTTTGAGTGATATTTCTAAAAGTACGTTTTTTC